AATATATTATCATTAAAGACCATGCTAATTTTGCTCCAAAAGGTCAAGATATAGTGTGTGCAGCTATTTCTGCTATTTATTTTCATCGAAAGACTTCTTAAACTTTAGATTTTATTATTGTTTCTTTCTCCCAGAAATTAATTCTGGAATTTATGAAAAAAATAACAATAAGTCTAAAAGACCAACGGCTGGTAGATGCCCAAGTAAAAACTACTCCGGAACTTCATCCGAGGAACAGGAACGAAGAAATAAAAATTCAAGGCATTCTTACCTCTCAAATCCAACTAAGGGGAGAAGGAACTACCGAACCTTACTATTATGCTTTTATCAGATTAAAGGGACAAACCATAGATTTACCCGTAATATTTAAGATAAAAGATCAGCAAAAACCTTACCCTAAAAAATCTGATCAAATAGAACTAACTGGCCATTACTCTAATTCCGAAAAATCAGTCCGTAAGAGTTTTACCTGTTTAGATTACTGTTTACTAAAAAAAGAACAGAATATTTTTTCTAAATATGCCTAAACTCCATGAACTAACTGGTTTAATCACCAGCAAAGAACTACGTAAAGTTTACAATAAAAATAGCCCCTACCATGGTAACACTACCTACAAAATCCAAGCAATTATTGAAAATAAGGAAGAAAAAGAAAACTTATTCATTTATCCTAATTTAGTCAGTAAAGAAATCTTCCAAATCATAGAAAAAAGCCAATATATAGACCAAAGATATCTCTTTTTCTGTGAAAAGAAATCTAAAGGTTGAGTTTTACATGATTGAAAAAATTTAGAAAGTTATGCCAGAAAGTAAAAAATTAGCCAATAAAATCTCCTCCGAAATAGATAAATTACAAAAGATATTAGACAATGTCGAAGAAGTTAGAGTAATCAACTCTGATGATCCTGATACTTGAGACTCTGATACTCTTTATAACTTAGTAGAAAACTTAAAAGAAGCCCTTAAAATTTTAGAAGACCAAATAATTAAAGGAAAATACGATGAATTTTACCAACCTCTAACTGAGGATGGTCTCTGTTCTTTAGTAGATAGTTATCAAAATGAAGAGGAAGACTCCGAAGACTTTTAAACTATGGTAGCACTAATCACCTTCTTTTTAGGAATCATTCTGGGCTTACTTTTAACTCTTTGAATAATTAAAGTTAAATGTCCTAAATGTAAAAAACTGAAACCAATTATCCAAATAATAGTTTTTAACTTTAAGAAGTGAACTATTACCGGCCAATCTTGTTCTAAATGTCGGCAAGTTAAACCTCAAATAACTCTCTAATTATTAAGAAATCTTATGCCTAAATATCAAACCTTAATTGAAAAACTCCAATCTCTAAAAGACCCTAATTTAACCTCTGGTAATTTCACCCTCCAAGAAATAACCCTCTTAAAAGAAACTCTAGAAACTATCCAGTTTTTAGAACTAGTTTTTAAGAAAAAACTTGCTGAAAATGTATAAAACAAAATGCCATCTCTGCCCTAACTTAGTGACTAACCAGAGTAAGTTAGCCTTTGATTACCAAAAAGGAAGCAATTATCATGTCTGTAATTTATGCTGATTAAAAGAAAGGATTAAACTCAGCCAAAGAATAATTACAAATCAAGAGCAATTAATTGAAGAATATCAAACCAAAATAAGAAAATTGAAAAAGCAAGTAATCAAATAACTATGAAATTTAAATACCATATTTTAGAAAGAAAACTGTGAAGAATAAAAGATGATTATCTTTATGAAATCAGTGAAGAAAATCAAGTCTTAAAAAACATTTTTAAGTTAGGGGAAAATCAATGATTATTCCTTAATTTTGATAAACCAGTAACTAAAATGGCTGCTCGCTATGTCAAGACTTCAAAGAATGGTGATTTGATCTATGAAAAGAATGTAGATCTTAGTCAATTCCAAATTGAGATCATTTTTGAATTTACCGAAACTGATCTGATTAATAGTAGTTAATTCGCCAAAGCAAGGGGAGGCTTAAAAAGCTTCCTTCACTTCCACCAAATTATTTTTTGAATTCGGATTAACTAGCATTTTAGCATTGGTATCCTTGCTATTTTTTTTACTTTAATTGCCCCTGTTAAGGCAATTTTATCTTTGCTAGTGATCCGAATTGAGAAAGTAATTTCTCACGCGGAAGAAGAACCGCGTTAAAAAATTGGGAACACCAATAAAAAAAGCATCAACCCGAAACGGATAGGATAAGATGCACCTAGCAATAGGCAGAGAAGACCACCTCTTCCGTAATAAAAGGAGCGTAAAACTAGTAAGGTGACAGAACAACCTCAGAGGCAGAAAAGACTGACAATTATGGAAATTACTAGGGTAGAGACTAATAGTCTTTAAGGCTATTGGTGTGCAGTCTGGAAAATCCGCACTAGGAGCCTTTTCTCGGAGGTCAAACCGAGGTCAAAAGAGCCGTGTAGTTTTTAAAAGTTCTTCACGAAAAAAATAAAAACTGCAAGTTAGAGGAGAGGAATATTTTTTTTTTTTATTCTCCTCTATTAATTGTTTATTGCTCTTTTGCAGAGTAGGACATTATTCATTATTTTCTTCTTCTAGAAGTTAATAAGAGAGACACCTATATATAGAAAAACCATGAATCAAAAGTTAACTATTGCTGAAACTAAATATTTAAGAATACTAGCCAGAAAACACATTTTACTTCCTACCAAACATAAAAAGCCTTTGGTAAAGAATTGGAATAAGTTTTATGTCGAGTATAGAGGCATTGAAAAGCTATTGGAACTTAATCAAGAATATTCTTTACGAACTGGAACTCTGATTGGTGATTATTACTTCATAGCCATAGATTTAGATGACATTTGAGCCAAAGAGAGAATAAAGGATAGTCGTTATATTGAAACCAATAAAGGAATTCATAGATATTTACTGATTAAGGAATTACCAAAGTCTTGCTGGCTGTTGAATAGTAATGGTAATAGAATCGGGGAAATTCACAGCAAAGGAAGATTTGTAGTCGGAATAGGGAGTATTCACGAAAAAGGAACTAGGTATACTTTGAAAGGTAGAGTTAATTTACCTTGAGGTTTAAAATTTGAGAACTTAAAAGAATTCCAAGAATACTTGACAGAAAGAGATATTAAAACTATCCCCTGAGGCAAAAAAGGTTTAGAAAACATTAGAGATTTAGAACTATACGAAAAGAAACTGAATAAACCTAAACCATCTAGTAAAGAATTCCAGTATTTTCAGAAGAAAGAAAAATTACAAACCAAAATAAATAATCATCCCAAAAAAGAAAACTTAAATATCTGTTATATCTGTCTAGTCTACTTTCCCCAAGAGCCTGATATTATAAAATCTCACTTATCCGGAAAAAAGCATCAGAAAAATTGAAAGGTTTATCAGGAAAAGAAAACTAAAAACTTTCCACAAAATAGGGCAGAAAGAGTAAATAAAGCCCTAAAATATTATTAACTTTCCACCTAATCAGGAAATAATTAGTAAAGTATAATCTGAAAGGTGGAATATTTGTAAAAACATGTCGAAAAATTTAACTGTTTTACCTACTAACCAATTGTTAGCCCAAGTTTGGGATTATATTATTAGCCGACCTAGCAAAAGAGGAGAACATAAGAAAGGGATTAGTGAAAGTTTGTTTTTGCTCTGCTGGAAAGTAGGATTAAGAATATCAGAAGCCTTAAATTTTGACTTATCCTTGGAACATGGAGAAAGCCAGTATAAGAATTTGTATCTTTTAAGAGGCAAAGGTCAAAAAGAAAGATGAGTATATGTTGGAGAAGAAATAATCCGTGAACTCAAAAAAAGGAACTGAAAACCCCAGCAGACTAATCGCTTTACTTTTAGCAAGTTTTTAGAGAAAGCAAAAGAGGAAATGAATATTGCTGAAAATATCGAACTGGCTCCTCATACTCTCCGCCGTTGTTTTGCCACTTACCAAGCCATTAGTGGTATGCCTTTACCAGTCTTGCAGAAAGTATTAGGGCATAGTAAAGTTAGCACTACTGCTTTATATATCAGGGATGGGGATTTAAGTAATTTAGTTAAATTTAGACCGATATAAAAAATTAGTATTATGCCAAAAATAACTGAAGAAGATGTTAAGATTGTGATTAACGAAATTCTCAAAAGTAAAGGTTGAATACTAAGCGGAGAGGGAAAAAATGTCTGATTAGAAGACAGATCGCAGGGAAATCCTGCTGATTATGTTTGTTATGATAGAAACCAAAATCCCTTAATTATTATTGAGGTTAAACGCCAAGGAAAAGACCTAAAACAAGCTTTAAAACAAGGAATTAGTTATGCTAAAATCTTCAAAGCACCTCTAGTTATTGCTACCGACAGTGTCTTCACTAAATGTTTTCATGCCAATTTCCAAAAAAATTTAACTCTAGATGGTGAAGATTTTGAAGATTTATTAAGCGAAGAACAAGCAGTAAAATTTGTCGAACAACCGCATTTAATTACCAAAGAAGACAAAAAGATTTTGTCTCGTAATGAACTGATAAAAGTTTTTGAGGAAATTAATGAACTACTTCGCCATGATGTATTGCAAGCAGGAGATGAACGCTTTTCTGAATTTGCTAATATTCTCTTTTTGAAAATATTTAGTGAAATTGAAGAAGAAAAAATAAAAAATAACGAACCGGCTACTATTGACAAAGAGGATCTTTGAAGTTTCTTTTCTCAAAGAAGGGGTAAAGATTTATGAAAATATGTAAACGATACAGTTTTAAAGAATTTCAAACAGAAATATGAAAAACAAAACTTGTTTATTGATAGTCAGATAAAAAATCCGCAAATATTAGAAAAAATTATTGATAAACTAACTCCCTTGTCTTTGTATGATACCCCTACTGATGTTAAGGGAGAAGCCTTTGAGCATTTCTTGAAAAGATACAACTCAGGAAAAAAGGATTTAGGTGAGTATTTCACTCCTCGTCATATTGTTAAGTTATTAGTTTTTCTAGTCAAACCCCGTTTTAAAGAAAAAATTTATGACCCTTTTTGCGGAACAGGTGGAATATTAATTGAGGCCTTTAAATCTATTAGTAAAGGTGTGTTAAGTGATGATAAAGAAAACAAAGAAGTTTTGAGCAACAGCATTCGAGGTAACGAAAAAACTAAGATAGCTCGGATTGCTAAAATGAATATGATTTTATTTGGGGATGGTCACAATAATATTGCTCAGATAGATACTTTTCAGTGTCCTCTTAGTTCTATTGCTTCTCAATTTGAAGCAGTAATAACCAATATCCCTTTTGGTTTTGATAATGTGGATTATGGAAAAAATAAATACCCTATTGGCTGTAAATATGGAGACTGTCTGGCTATTCAACATTGTCTAAAATCCTGTAAAGAAAACGGGAAAGTAGTGATAATCATGCCGGAAGGGTTTTTTAATCAAAGGACTAAGAAAGGATATCGACTTACTAAAGAATGAATAATCGAAAATTATTCTATCCAAGTTGTAATTTCTTTACCAAAAGGAACTTTTTTGCCTTATACCAACAGTAAAAGTTCAATCATTGTTATTGAAAAGAAAAAGAAAATTAGAAATTATTTTTACTATTACCAAATAAAAAATGATGGTTTTACTTTAGACACTCATCGCAATAAAGTTGAGGGAGTAGTTAATGATATTGAAAACTTATATTCTTTATGAGAAAAAGTGGTTCTTGAAGAAAAAGAGCCTTCGCCTCTATTTACTAAGATTTATTATCAGGATATTAAGGATGACAAATATGACCTTTTGACAAAACCTCTTGACTTTCCTCTATCTAAAACTAAAGAAAACAAAAATTATATTTCTTTATCCCAAATGGCTAATATTTGACGAGGTTGTTTTGAACTAAAAAAAGAAGAGTTTATCAACAATGGTTTTGCTAAAGTTTATCAATCAAGCCATGCTACTAATGATGATTTTTCTTTAGGAAATCGCTACATTACTGAAGAAAGATACCAACAATTAAAAAAATATGAACTACAAACTGATGATATCGTTATGAGTTTTTCAGGCACATATTTAGGAAGAGTGGCTCTTTTTCCTAAAACAGCCGAAAGAGGAATTGCTTGGAGTATGGGGGTAGTAGTTATTAGGATTAAGCCGGAATGAAAAGAAAAGATATCGCCCGAGTATTTACTGTTTATCTGTCGAACACCACAAATGAAAAATTTTTTGTTAGACCGAACTTTTGGTACTACCATTCAAAATTTAAGAATAGACATCCTAGAAAAATTTCCTATTCCTCTTTCATCTTTGGAAGAGCAACGAAAAGCAGTTGAAGAACTAAAAAAAATCAAAGAAAATATCAAGAATACTCAAAAAACAATTGATAACCTCAATTCTGCTCTCTCTCTCTCTCTCTCTCTCTTATGAGAAAGAAACAAAAATTAAAAAATTGGGAGACCTTGCCACTTTTGAATATGGATATACCATTTCTGCTAGTGATAGGGGGGAGTTTAGGTTCATTAGGATTACAGACATAGACGAGTATGGAAACATTTCAGACCAAGATAAAAAATATGTTGATTTATCAGAGGAAAAAGACAAAGAGAAATATTTACTAAAAGAAAGTGATATCATTATGGCTCGAATAGGTTCAGTGGGAGAAACTGCCATCTTTTCCAACAAAGAAAAATCTATTTTCGCCTCTTATCTAATTAGAATTAACCTTAATCAAAGCGAAATATTGCCCAAATACTACTGATATTTTACCAAAACTGATGATTATTGAAAGCAAGTAGAACAATTAACCAAAGGAACAGTCCAACCCCAATTTAACGCTAATTCTTTAAAGGAAATTCAAATCCCTATCCCTAGTTTAGAAAAGCAAAAAGAGATAATTAAAGAAAGAGAAGAAGACTTAATAATAATTGATTATCAAAAAAAAAGTATAGACTTATTAAAATCAAAAGAACAGAAATTTTTAGATAATCTTTGGTAGATTTTTAATCACTCTAATGGTAGTTTGAGAAAAATAATAATATATGTCAACTATTACCGGAAAAAAACAATTCACTGAAAGAATTTCTAAAAAAACAAGATTCCCCCAAAACCAAGTGTCCCAAATAATTGAAGAATTTTTAATCGAAACCAAAAAATCTTTACTAAAAGGCGAAGATATTAGTTTAAAAGGTTACTTTAGTTTAAAAAGAAGTCGGCAAGTGCCAAAAATAAGCAAGTTTTGTGATAAGCATGCAAGAAGTATGGAAGATTTTAAACGGGCTAATAAAAACAAAGGACTGGCTGCCTTTGCCAGTTCACCTTCCTTTCGAAAATTAAGTTCAGAAACTAAAAATTGCAACAGTTGTAAAACTCAAAAGCAAAAAATAGTCAAGTCAACTAAATTACTAACTAGAGTAAATTGTAAGGTCGGTCAAGGATTCTGAGAAAAATAGTAATCAATACTTAATCTTAGAATTAGAAGAAATGTTATACAAAGAAATAATTGCCCGAAAGGATTTAGAAATTAAAGAGTTAAAAAAAGAAATCCAAAAATTAGAGAAGGAGAATAAAGAACTAAAAAAGGCTAGAAAATAAAGAAAGATTTGTCTGATAAGACTAAAATAATATGTCAAAATACAATAATCTGGCAAATAAAAATATGAAATTAAATTTACTTTCAACGTGGAAGAGGGTAAGAATGGGGGCTAATTTATTGGTGGATTATGTGATTGAAACCTAAAAATAACTTATATGTATTTAACTAACCAAAAATAATTTCTTAAAGAATTTTTTACTGTTACTCTTCTTCCTATTTTTTAGTGATAAAGAAAGTTTAGAAAATTTAGAATGAAAAGTGAAAGAGGCTAAGAAAGTAAATATTATGACAACAAGAAGTAATAAACTTAAACAATTGAACTTAAATCCTTTATCGGTAGCAAAGTATTTTTGAAGTAAAGGAGTAGAGGACTATGCCCGAATCCAACTTTTTCTTTACTTAACTTATTTAGAAGTATTAAAAAAAGAAGGCAAAGTCTTATTTCAGGAAAAATTTCAAGCTTGAGAAGGTGGACCAGTTTTGGAATCAGTTCATCAGCAAATGAAACACCATTTTAAAGAACATGGAACTATGGATTGTTTGTTTGAACCAGTGGAGGAGATAGAAAATAAAGAAGTTAAGCAATACTTGACTAAAATTTACCGAGATTACCAAATTGCTAAAAAACAAGGTAAAGAGGTTGATTTCCTTTTCCGAAATGAGGATGAATCCTGAGAAAAGGCTCGGGAAAATACTAACGGAGAAAAGAGACCTCACATTTTCCTAGAACCTTCCAATATTATCTCTCTTACTAACTAAATGACCCAAGTCATCTTTGATTTTAGCGAACTAATCATTAACTGTCTACATGATGAAAAAAACAGTTTTACTAATGCTATTAGTCCGGAAATAGATAGTAAAGTATTTATCTCAGAATTGTTTCAAAACTTGAAACTTGCTTGTCAAGAAACAGAATTAAAGGAGTTATTTCGGCAAGGACACTTTCATTTTGTCCAAAATTCTTATATTATAGAAAAGATAGAGAAATTAGTAGACAATCCTTATCTAGACTACAATAGACTTTGCCAAATCCCCTTAGATAAAGAAATAAGATTGTATGGTAATTTGCAAAAAGTTAAGCATGCTTCTCTTTACCTTTTCAGATCCCTTCTCTTAGACCCTAACCACCTAATCTACAATGAACAGAAATTTAACAAACTTAAAAACTTAACTTGCCTATTTAGTGAAAAAGACTGTCTAGAAACTAGAAAAGTGGGATTAAAGAAAAATAAGAAGAAATAATTTCCCTATCACCCAGCAAAATTTTCCCCAAACTCCCCAAAAAATCACCAAATTTTAACCACTAAAAAATCTGAATAGGATATCTAAACTAGTAGTATGATAATTCAGTCTTATAATTCAGATTTTAGCCCTCCACACCCTTTTAAACAAATTACTAAAATAAATTCATAGCACTGAAAAAGCCTTGCAAAAGAAAAAGCATTTCCCTAATTTCAGGCAAAAAATATTCGGAGCTCTCATAATCTCCATTATCAACTCCGCAGCTCTCCCAATAAATTGGCAACTGCAAATAAATATCATTCTCTGAAATTCTTACCTAATAAAAATATTAAGAAAATATGATAGAATCAAAATACACTTATCTAGCCATCGGAATAATCGCTGGTTTGGTTTTAACTTTCGGTTATGAGAAAATTAGTTCAAGAGAATAAAAAAACTTCCCTAATCCTAGGAGAAGCTTATGACTTAGTTTTGGCTGACTTACTCTCTTCCTTAAAAAAAATCAAAGATGAAGGTAGTATTAAATTAGGAGATTTAGGAACTATGAATAAGAAAAAGTCTCTGCTCAAAAGTGCCTTGAAAAAAAAGACTTATCTTTTCTATCAAGTAAGTTTCAAAGCCTCAGACTGACTAAAGCAAGAGTTAAATAAAAGCTTGTAATGGATGGTCTAGTTTGGAAAAAGGAATACTGACTGATAGTAGTAATTATTATCTGTCTGTTTCTTTTCTATTACCGTGATAAATTAGGGAATGAAAAATTAAATTCTTACCTAACTTTATTACCTACCATTGCTGGTTCTCTATATGGTTTAAATACCTTAATTAGTTTAGTTAAATAAAAAAATATGAATTTACCAAATAATCAAGAACAATCTAATGTTCAGCAAAATAAAGGACTTTTCTCTCTACCCCCTTCGGTAATGAACATGATCCCTTGAATCCCTCTCATGTTAGAAATGACTACGGGACAAAAAATCCCGCAAATGACTGGCACGATAGGTGAAATTCAACAAGGTATTCAGCAAATTCAATTAAGTTTAACTCAAATTATTAATAGTCAACAGCAATTAGACCAAAGATTAACCGCTTTAGAAACTAATGCTACTAATCAGTTCACTAATCTAGTTCAAGAAGTTAAAGGGATTAAATCTATCCGCTTAACGCATGACCGAGAAAGGAAACAATTAGACTATAATTTATCAGAAAACTAATCATGTCCTTTTTCCCTGATATCACTCCTTTATTAAAGGAAGCCAAAGATTTTAACCACCATCAGCAAAAAATTATTGCCTTGTTGCTAGAACAAAACCAATTATTAAAAAAAGTATTAGAAAAACATGAACACGAAAGCCAAAGAAATTAATGAAGAAACTTACTCTCGAAGTAGTCCTTCAAAAAAGAAAATAGAAAGTATTGATACGGATCAACTAGAATATACGGCTACCACTTTATTAACTTATGGAACTATTGTTTTTGCCGTAGTTTTAGGTTTAGGTTCAATCACTTATATGACTATTCAACAATTAAAAAAGTAAAATTATGACTAACGAAAATCAAGAAAATACATTAGCAAGTTGAGCCACTGGTAAGTTAGCTATGTTCACCATTGGTTTAATGGTAGGGATATTTCTCTACAAAGCCGGAGTAATCCAAAAAGTAACTAGCAAATTATTTGGCAAGAAAGAAGCCGAGTAAATTTAACTCTCTTTCTGACTTATAAAAAAAATCATGAACCAAACTACTAATCTCTCAGAAACTATTAGCAGTGCTCTCCAAGCCTCTTTAAGTAATTCCTTAAAAACTAGTTCACCCCCGACTAGCATTTTACTCTGAACTAGTTCTAATAATACTTTTATCCTTAAAAAAGATGGTAAAAGATATTTAGGTTTACCCCGAAAAGATAAAAAAGGGAAAGACTATTGAAAGTTTAAAGAGGTTAGTAATAGGCCGGTAACGAATACAGTTGCTAAATTTAAGTAACGCCAAGAAAAAGTGAAACAATATGGTAAATCAAATACTAAACCATCAGATAACTCCTAATCTAGTTAATACTATTCAAAATTTAAGCAGTGGTTTAAAAGTGGTGCAACCCCTTAGTTTAGGTAATTCTGAAACTACTCAGATGATAACTTATGCTCTACTTGCCACTGCCGTAGTCGGAATATTTGTTTATCATTACATAAAAAGTCAAGAAACCTCATAGAGGTTCTTAATAAAAAAAGAAACCAATTAACCATGGGAATTAAAGACTGATTACCAGACTTCAAAAGAGCCTTACAAGGCTTTTATGAAGAAAATCTAAAACAAACTCTAGAAACTAAAACGGCTTACTATGAGAATTTACTAAAAGAAAATATTGCTTTTGGCCAAAGAACTCAAAAAATAGCCATTGCCTTAGGAATTGGAATCTTCTGCTTAATCGCCATTGCTTATTTCTGAAAAGATGAATAATATTTTGCTTACTTTTCAATAAAAGTAAGATGAAAGACAAATTGTTTACAATTTACTCTTCAATTTTGATTTATTAACAAAGAAAACAAAATGAAAAATCTAAAATACATCGCCTTAGGAATTTTGGTCAGTTATTTAGGACTTTATGTCTATAACTTGGTTCAAACTCCTAAAGAAAGTAAAGAATCTGAATAGGCTCCTAATAAAATTATGTCCCAAAAAAACCAAATTTTTAGCACTTGAAATATAATCTTCTACTCTTGCTTTTTCTTGCTAGGCTGTTATATCCGCCATTGGATACACACCGGAACCGGGCAATTTAGAAGGTTCGGAGACTATTTTTAAAATTATGAAAGGAACAACCGTATTTTGTATTGCCTTAGCAGTATTATGTGGGTTTTTAGCTCAGCAAACTATTGAAACCTTACTTAATACTTACCTAATTGTAATGCCTTTTAATATTAGAACTGTTTAAGTCTTGAAAAAGAAATACTTATTAAATTATGAAAAATATTAAGAAAACTAAAAAGCAAGTAATTATAGTTCCTACTAAAGGAACCAAAACCGGAACTAAAAAAACCAACTCTAAAAAACTTAAATCTTCCCCCGTAGACTATTATAACTGTTTACTAACTCAGGCCCAAGCAGACTGACATGATCCTATTTCTGGCAAAAAACAAAAGATCACTCAGTGCTGTAAGAACTGTAAACTAAATGCTCCTAAGTTACAAGAAAGTAGAAGTCAAGAACTGAAAAAACTAATCACTTCTTATCAGCAAGTAGGAGATAGTTTAAAAAAACTGCTCAAACCTATTAACTAATAGTAAAAGATTATGGTAGACTGCACTTACTGATTTTACCTTTGCCTTTGCTTGTGCGGAGTAATCTTAGCTATGTTAGCCATGTTCTTTAACTACTCCCTGAAACTAGACTGAAGAACGGCTAAACTAGAGAAGAAAAATGGTAAAGAATTATACGAAATAGAAAAGTTAAACCAGAAACTGGTCAACTTAGAAAAAAAGTTATCAGAAAAAAATAATACACTTCCTTAGGAAGAAGTATTAAAAATTTTGCCGAACTCATGAAATGTTTACTCTGTCAAAAGAGAAAGTCCCAACCTAATGCTAATATTTGCTGATGATGTTCTTTAACTAAATTACCCTGATTCTAAATTATGACTAAATACTTAATAATAATTGCTCTAATAGTATTGATTTACCTTTACTGAAAATATCAGCAAACTAAAACTCTGCCTCATAATCCCGATGACATTATTGAAAGAAAAGGCGAACAAAAAGAAGTTTTTTGAGATGCCAAAGACTGAGAAGTAAATTCCGATAACTCGGATAATGATAATTAATCATGACTAATAAAGATAACTTACAGCAAGAACTCAAAGAGAAAATTAGACCTGGCATCAAAGCCAGTGATTTAAAAAAACTCAAACGTTCTAAAAGTGCGGATGATATTTCTTCTTCAACCTCTGCTACTATCTCTTTAAAGAAATCACAGTCTCAATTAGAAATACCAGTTAATCAGACTACTCCTCAGCAACAAATCACCCAATTACAAGAAACAGTGAAATTCCATGCTCAAACTAGTCAAAACTATCTCCAATCGCTCCAATTAGCCCAAGCCAAGATTACGGAGTTAGAAGAAACTAAGGAAAAAGATAAACAAAAGATTACTAACTTAGAAGACCAAATCCTTCAATTAAGATTAGAAAAGATTAAAGACTTTGGCGATTATTTAGAAAAGGAAAACCTTTTAGAAACCGAATTAGAACTAAATATAGATGAAGGACTTCAAGAAATTAAGAAATTAGAAAACAAGTTAATTGCCACTAATAAAAAGAAACTAGAACTCCAACAGCAATTAGGCCAAGAATTAAGTAAAAATGCCCGTTTAGAACTGAATTCACCTGCTAATTCCAACCACCCAAATCATTTAAAATACCTCCTTTATTCACTTTGTGCGGTTCTTTTTACTCTCTGATTAGTGAATGATTTAAAAAAAGAAATCAAATAAAAATATGGTAGACTTAGGAATTAAACAAGCCGTTAAAGATTGAATGACCAGTGCCTGAAATAATTGGGTTCGTGACCCTATTGCCAACCGCACCGAACAAATGGAAAACCAGGTTTCCCAAAAAGTAAATGAATATTCTGATAAAGCCAAAGAACAGATAAATAAGCCTTTGGTTTATTACCAAAAACAAGATGCTTTTTATAGAGGACTATTTTGAATTGCTATTGGTCTGTTAATAGTTCTCTGAATAATAAGTGGTAGTTAAAAAGGTAAAAATAAAAAATAAAGTATAGAATGTTAAAAACTTTTGGAGATAAGCATACCGAAAAGTTATGAAAGGAAAAAACCACCCCAAAGTGGAAGAATATCCAAACGGTTGTTTTGAGAAAATTAGGACAATTAGATAAGGTCAAAAACCTATTAGAGTTAACTTTTCCTCCTAACAATCGGCTCGAAGCCTTACGGGGAAAATGAAAAGGATATTACAGCATTCGGATTAATAAGCAATATCGAATAGTCTTTATTTGAGAAAAAGGAAATGCCTACAAAGTAGAAATTACTGATTATCACTAAATCACTAAAATAAAGTTATTATGACTAGAAAACCAATTATCTATCATCCAGGAAAGATATTAAGGGAAGAATTTATAATTCCCGCCCAAATTAGTTCGGTTCAATTAGCTCGAGATATTAATATTTCAAGCAAAATAATCAGAGAAATAGTTGCCGAAGCGAGAGACATTGATAAAGACATTGCTGCTCGTTTATCTTTATATTTTGGAACTGCCCCTGCTTTCTGAATCAATCTGCAAAGCAATTATGATGAGGAACAAGTAGAAAAGTCATTGTTCAAGAATTTAAAGAAAGAAATTCAACCTTGAAATTCAACCAATATTTAGCCGAAGAAGGAAGAAGAACAAATAGGATTTTTATCTTTGTTACTCCTTAAAGAAATAAAGGTAAAATAAATTATGGGTTGATTATGCCTAAAAAAAGAAGAAATTATTCAATCAGACTAACGATAAATAAAAAAGTTATCAATGAAATAATTATTGATCCTCATTATGAAAATAATCATTCTTATATGACTGATGAATTGATTTGTGAATTAGTTAAAAGTCTTGATGATCAAAGGTTTCTTCCCAAAGACAGAAAAAAACCTTGATATTATTTTGAAGTTGATATTGAACATGATGGAAAAAACTATCGCCTAATCTGGTGTTTAGAGGATGATCAAGATTATTTAGGCATAATTAATTGCTATCGAAAGAAAAAATATGATAAAAAATAGAATTGTCCTCAAAAAAGGAATTAAAAAAAGTAACTATAACTTTCCTCCAGAAAAAGAACTAAAAAGAATTAGAGAAAAGGAAGGAATAGTTAACATTGTTTTGCTAAAGAATGCCACTTTTTTAGAGAAAGTTAAATACGAAATTTGCCAAGCAATTTTGGCTTATCAACAAGATAATAATTTAACATATGGAAAAATTTCTCAAAGAATAGGTATTTCTTCCGAAAAAACTATTGATATGCTAAGGGGAAATATTTCTAGTTTTGCCTTAGATAGTCTAATAAACTATGCTGAAAAATTAGACATTCCTTACCAAGTGAGGATTATTCCCGAATACTTTACCCCTACTCGTAAATCTAACGGAAAGGTAAGAAAACATCTCTAAATATTAACAGCCCTAATTTTAGCCTTGTAAAAGATCAGACTTGTCTCAGCCCTGTAAAGGAAAAACTTCGAAAATAACAAAAATAAAAATTTTTAAAATTAAAAACTATGGGATTCTGAGATTTTGTATGGGGAGCAGTCGAAACTGGACTAGATATGATTCCAGTTGCCGGCAAAGTTCTCAAAAAAGGTGTAAAAGCTATAAAAAGAGGTGTTGGAGCCTATAAAGATTTTCAGTCAGGAGGTGGCGTAGATCTTGGTGATTTGTCAAATAGTGTTGGAGAATTAAAAGGAAAATTAAATGATTGTAACAATAAAATTGAGGCCCAAGGCAAAGCCCTTCAAGGTCAAATTGATGGGGTAAAATCTGAACTAGAAGGAGCCTTAAAAAAACAGGGAGAGAAATTTGATGAAGAAATTCAAGAATTAGATGCTAAAATTGATTCTTTGCAAGGTGAACAAAAAAGACAAGCCGAAGAGACTAAAAAAGCCTTACAAAAGCAGAAACAAGAGTTAGAAAGTCAAATTCTAGAAGTTACAGAAAATTTAAATAGAGTTCAGAACCAGTTAAAAAAAGAAATCGATGAGTTTCGCAACGAAGTTAATGAAAGATTCGAGCAGCAAGAAAGGAAAATTTTAGAAAACAAACGCCGTATTGAAGAAGAAAGGATTAAAAGAGAGCAAGAAATTAAGGAAACTAGAGATAAAATTAAACTCACTAATACCAACTTAGAAAACTTACGCCAGGAAAAGGAACAAATGGCTGATGACTTTGCTAAATACAAATCCACCATCGACCAAAAAACCGCCGAAACCCAACAAACCTTTGAAGATACTCAAGCCGAATACCAAAGAAAAACTGCTATTTTAGAAGAAAGGATAAAAGATAACGAGGAAATTGTTGAGGAATTTAGTGAAGAACTGAATGAGGTTCAAAGAGAGCAAGCCCGACAGAAATTAGAGCAGGAAGAAATAGTGGAAGAACTCCAAGAACAGCAAGATATTTTACACTTCCAAAAACATAAGTTAGATTTCGTGGCTAACCAAATGGAAGAAATCTATGAGGAAGTCCATGAACGAATGGACAAACTTTCGCAAAAGTTTGATGAACGGACTAGTGAAACTTTAAATATTGCTAAGGATACTAATAAAAAAGTTGACAAATTAACTGAAAAAGTCCAAAATATCCAAAATCAAACTGAACAACTCCAAGAACAAATCAAAAATAACAAATTAGAAACGGAAAAAGCCAAAGAAGAAGCCAAATTGGCTAATGAACGAATAGACAATTTAATTAAATCCCAACAATTAAGTGATTATTCTGCCCAAGAGTCCAAACTAGATAAAATCCAAAAATCCTTAGAACTCAAAGCCGAAGAAACCAAACTTTTAGCCACTTTAAACCTTCTCACTGAAACTAAGAAATTAGTCCGAGTAGAATTAAGTGAAATAGACTGAAAGGTTGGTATTGAAAAAGGTAAGGAAAAAGATATCCCTAGACCCGAAGGAATGTTATTAAACCCTAACTCTTCTTGAGCCAAGAAATACACCCCCGAGCAACTAAGAGAATGAGGCTGAGATACCCGTTTATTAGGAGATAATGAAACAGCTCCTCTTACTGATGAAAACAAGAGAAAGGAAAAACAGGCTCAACCTAACGAACAAGAAAGCAAAACTGCCGGGGAAGAATCTGCCCAAGCTGAGGAAGCCATTGAGAAAATAGAAGAACTAAAAGCTGAAACCTTAGAAAGATTAGCCGCTATTCAGCAAGAAGTTAGAACCGGTTTAGAAGAAATAGAAAACACCCAAAATACTTCTGCTAAACCTGCCCAAACCAAAATCCAAACTATTCAAGAAGAAATTAAGAAAAAGCAAAAAACTTTATCACAAAAACAGCAAAAAGTTACTAATTTAACTAAAAAATCTCACTCTGCCAAAAATCAAAAGCAACTGGAACAAGCCCGAAAGGAACAAGAGAAAGCCCAACAAGAATTAGAGCAAACCCAGTCTCAATTATCCGACCCTTCTTTACAATTTGAACAGGAATTAGAAAAGCACGAAGAAAGCATCGCCGAACAACAACAAGAAGAAGTAATTCGACAATGACAAGCTATTCAAGCCCTCAGCAAGCAAGCCCTTCAAGAACAACCTGAAAAAGAGGAAGAGGAAAAAGAACAAACCGAACATGATGTCAATAAAAAATTAGAAGAATTAACTCAGCAAATTAAGGAAATGGAAGCTAGCCAAGCTGCTTCACAAAAGCAGATGACTAGATGAATGCTCTTTTTAATTATCTTCTTATTAGAGTATGTAGTTTATAAAAGAAATGGTTTATCAGGTTTAGTAGTTTTAAATATAATTCTCTTAATTTGCTACTGATATAAAGACCAACTAATGGAATATGCTGATTTGTTTGGTAAATATTTATTGATAATTGGTTATGTAATGGGGAATGTTCTTGCCTATTCAGCACCAGAACAGGAAAAATATAAATGACCATCAGTAATAGGGTTTAATCTTTGTATTGCCGGCATTTATGGTTATACTTTATATCAAGACAAGCAAAATCGGGCTCAAAGAGAGGCCTTTTTATTGAAGCAACAAAAGGAATTATTAAAAGAAATCAATTTCAGCGAAGAAGACCAAGCAAAAATAACAAAGAGCATGAACCAAATAGCTAGTGAACAGACTACCCAAATATTAGGCTTTGCTAATCCATTCAGCACTAATATTCCCACTTCCCAAAAAGCAGAGAATTTTAGCCAATTAGTCCAACAGCAAATATTAGAAAAAGAACAAATCGCTAAAAAGGAACAAGAAATCCAACAACAAGCTGAAACTTTAAAAAAAGCAGCTGAAATAGAAAACAATCTCAAAGAAATTAGCACTAATTTAGGTGAATCAAGAATGTCTTGAAATAAGATTCATGACAAATATCCCGAATTCAAAAATAAATCCTTACTTCTCCAAGAATTCGAAAAAGCCGAAAAGATACTCAGAAGAGAAGAAAGCGAGCAAGACAAAAATTTCCTAAATAGGCTAGAAAGACTACCGATCCCTTCCGAGGAAGAACAAATCCTTTTATCCAATCTAAACCTAACCTTAGAGCAATATATTGCTATTTCTTTAAAAACTCCTTATCTAACTAAACTAGAAGAAGAGTTTATAATAGAAAACTATCCAACCTTAGATTTACCAGCAAAATTACAGTTATTAAGTAGTGGATTGAATAATTTAGGAATAGATACTTACGAAAAGAAAGAAAAGTTAATTGAATTAATCTTAACTTGCCAATCAGAACAACTATCATTCGGCTTAAATGCCAAAGAAAAAGAAGGAATATTAAGATTATTAATGAATACCCTTAATTTATCTTCTGAACAAAAGGAAAATCTAGAACAAATGGGCATTAGTTTTTTTGATGCTTCTAATTGAAGAATAACCGAAGAACAAAAAGACCATTTATTAGATTTTGGTTTAAATAAATTAGAGTTGACAGAAGAGCAGGCAGAAGAATTAACTGCCATTCACCCTGACCAATTTAAAACTTTTTCTTTAACCGGTCAGCAAAAGAATATTCTAAATAATTTAGCCCCTTTAATTAGGGAAGATAAGTATTCCGAATCAAGTTTAACCCTGCTTAAATCTCTAAACTTAAAGCCCAACATCCAAATCTTTTTAGTCCAAGAAGAAATAATCCCCGACCCACACACTGCTTTTGGAACTGCTAAGAGTTCTTATTTACCTTTAAAAGAAAAATTCCTATTAGGGGAACAAAGAACTTTACAAAAGGTAAAGGAAGAGGAAGAGAGGGAATTAAAAGAGGAAAAAATTAAACAGAATAAACTATCTATTTTAAGAAGTTTAATGAACTTTGCAGAAAATAAACCAGAAATAGAAGATGAAGAAGTTAGAATAATTTATGGAGGCAAATTCGCTGAACCAAATACCCTATATTTAAAAGACTTTAATTATTCCTTGGATGATTGAGTAAAGGAAGGAGTTATTAAGGACTGACAAAAGAACATATTATTAACTTGTGGGTTTAAAACTGTTCCCAAGTATAATTTCTTTGAACTCTTAATCTTTTGTGTGGAGAAATTTGCGGGAATTAGTTGATCCGAATTCTTATCCGGAAATGAAGACTTAGCGGAAGAATTTGAGGAATATGCGAAAGGTTTAGAAAATCAGCCCATTACTATCAATAAAACTATTTGAGAAAAGTTTGTTGCTTCCCAAAGCAAAAGCCAGCGAGAAACTGTTCAGCAACTAAACTTAAAAGAGTTAATACAAGAGCAAATCAATCAAGTCCTCGGAAATTGAAAACCTATTGTAGAGGACAATTGAACTAATATTAGTTTAGATTTCACCGAACAACTAGAAAAAGAGTGAAAAAGTAAAGGATTTTCTTATGAAACATGCAAAGAATGAATTGAAATTGGCCTAACCCCTAATGATTATGACTTGGCTAGTTATTTAAGAGATGAACTAACTCTAACTCCCGAAGAAGTCTTAAATCAGGGTAATTTAGATTATTTGAGAGAACAATTCACCAACTCTCAGGAAAAAGGTAAATCCAGCACTTCTTCTCGTTACGACAATCTCTTTGCTAATCTAAACAAAGAAGAAGCCGAAAGAAAGAAAAAGAAACTAGAAAGAGAAGAGGCTCAGAAGAAATTACAAGAAGCTGAAAGATTAAGAAGACAGGAAAAGTTATCCGAAAAAGATAAAAAGTTAAAAGAAGATGAAGAAAGAAGAAAACAGGAAAGAGAATTAGCCGAACAAGAAACCAAAAAGAAAAGACAAGCTGAGGAAGCCCGTAACAAAGCACTTCAAGAAGAACAAGAAGCCTTTTTAACTGAAAAACTTCATAATATTGAAGAAAAAAGAAAAAGAGCCGAACAAGCCTTAGAAAATCAAAGAAAGGAGAATGAACTGCAAGAGAAAAAAAAGAAAGACCAAATTGAGAAGATGGAAAAGAAAAATCGGCAAGAACAAGCAAGACTGGCTAAACAGGCTCAATTAATCGAAGAAGAAAAGAAAAAAAAACTGGCTGCTATTGCTTTGGAAGACCAAGAAGAACGACAAAGAATAGAAAAGAAGATGAATGAGGAAAAAGCTAAGGTTGAAGCAGAAATGAAAGAAAAGCAAAGATTAGCTGATGAAGCCTTAGAAAAAGCCAAAATCCAAGCCGAAAAAGAAAGAAAAGAAAGAGAACAAGAGATAACCAACTTACAAAGAGCTCAAGAAAATGCTCGCAAAGAAGCCGAAGAACTTACTAGATTAGCCCAAAATAGAGAAAGAATTCTCCGTGAACAAAAAGGTAGAGAAAATCAGTTAGAAGCTCATCGGGAATATTTATGAAATCAAGTATTAGACTATTTTTGGAGTAGTGATGAAGCCAAAGCCGGAACAAGAAATCCAACTCAATACTCCAGAGGCAAATTAAGAGATTGATTAAGTTCTAATTCTTACATGGAATTCAACTTGTATCAAGGAGATAGCCGACAATATCAAAGAACCAATTGAAGTGGTGGCTATCGAATTGCTATGAAGACTTTCTATGGGTGTGCTGGAAATAGTTTTGTTAATCAGTATCGGTTTAAAGAACTAATGAAGACCCACGTTAAAGATTTAAATTTTGGACTGGATTAAACTTCTTCCAAACTAGGCTCTTTTCACAAAAACTTACCAATTATCCAGTAAGATAATCAAGCAAAAATTACTCAGAATACAATAACTACCAAGAATCAAACTCCCAATAGTATTCCCGCATATTTTTTAACTGAACTTTCAAGATTAGGACCGATGGTTACTACTCCTAAATTATGAGTTTGACTTTTAATTTCCTCTTCGTGCTTTTTAGAAAGTCAATTCATCGGTTTACTTAGCACTGAATTTTTTAACTTATTATCTATTTCTTCCACCTTGGGAAT